TTAAAGGTTTGCATTTAACTTTAAAAATAAAAGTTTTTAATTTATTTTCATATACATGCAGGTTGATCAGGGATTCTGGGAACTGCCCCCCCAGTAACTTTTCCAAGCTTTACTCTCAACAACAAGCTGTCTTACTGTATCACCTTGACTTGTGGGTTGGGATATCACAGCACTTTCTCCTTTCATATAGTTTTTCTTCAGAGAACACAGCATGGCTTCAAACCCATTGTTAGTTCCACTTAAAGAAGCTCCACTAAATCAGTGGTGTTTACATGATTCAAATGTTCACTCACCATTCAGTAACTATTTAAACGGGATCACTCTAATTGGGATTAGGAATGAAATTTAGGGAATGAGTTTGTGCACAAGTGCCTTAAAATCACCTGTTGACTTGTGACAACCCCGTGAATTTCATAAGGTTTTCTTAGGCAAGGAATGTTCAGATGGTTTTGCCAGTCCCTTCTTCTGAAATGTAGCTTAAAGCACCTGGTACTTGTTGGTGGTCTCCCATCCAAGTATTAACCAGGGCTGACCCTGCTTAGCTTCCATGATTAGATGGAATCCAGTCCCCTTAAGGTATTTCAGTTCAGTTTGGGGCATAGCATATATAATTTCAATAACAAAAATCAAAGAGTTTTAAAAATCTATAAAGGAAGTAATTTGTTGTTGTGTGCCTTCAAATTCGTTTTCAACATATGGCAACCCTAAGGTAACTATCATGGGGTTTTGTTGACAAGTTTCTTCATGGGGTGTGTGTGTGTTTGGCACTGCTATCCTCTGAAGCTGAGAGTGTGACTTAGCTGAAGGTCACCCAGTGGGTTTCCATGGCCAAGATGGGATTCAAACCCTGGTCTCCAGAGTCATAGTCTAATGCTCAAATCACTATACATGCTGGCTCTTCAAATGAAGTAGGCAGGGCATAAAAGCATTGAAAATACAGAAAAAGTTCCAAATTTGGAGCTGGAAATAGCCACTCAGTTAACATGCCCACCATGCTTCAGAGCTGAGAAAGCAATTTGTAATGGGAGCAGAGAAGAAATGGGGAAAGAAATGTTATTCTTCAACTTCTCTTCATCTTTCTTCTTCCAGTCTACATAGTTACTGCTCCTGATTTTGCAATGGATAAGATCCCCAATTCAACTGGATGCTGTTGACTAGGGAAAGAAAAACCACAGATGTTTTTTTTTTTTAATTTGCAAATGGGACTTTTTTTTTTTTTAAGGGACATTTACTCCTTCCCACCATCCCCTCCAAACCATTTGCTCTTTCATACTGATTCCAAATGCTAGCAATTTATTCTCCCTTCTCCCATGTACATCCCATCCCAATCATGCATCAAGTGAGCTTCTACCATCACTGGCTATTAGTTTGTTTCCATCCAGAATTCAAAGTGATGGTTATGACCTATAAAGCCCTGGGTCAAGACTCAGTTAACCTCAGTTATACCGCTGTTAACCAAGTAGGTGTGCTCCTGGGCATAACTTCTTTAGCACAAACTTGAGTACCAGTGGCAGAAACAACATGGGGAAAACAGGGATGAATTCCTATGTCACAAAAAAAGAAGAGCAGCTTGAACATGTTTCAGAAGCAGACTTTTCATTCAGAACTAAAGATATGCACATGTGAAACGAAACAACTACATGAGGTAAGCATTGTATGAGTTTTTAAAAAATTGGAATCTCCTACAGCTCACTTGAAAACTTCTTCCAAAATGCATCCAGGTACAGGTGTCCCCCCCCCCTTTTGTTCGCCACCTTCTGCTTTCTAATAATTATCCATTTTGGTAGCCAAACTTATAGATCTATGCTTTTTTTAAAAAAAGCATTTGCAGGTAGCTGTTGAAGCTAATCATTTCTCTCTGTTTTGCTGTTCACACATAAAGGGATTCCAAAGGCAGTTGCTGTTTACTTTGCCTGTTGCAAGGAGGCACCCATGGCTACAATTGGATTGACTGGAGTAGAATACTGTCCTCTCCCTGCTCAAGCTTTATTACATTGTTTACTACAGACAGGCTTCTGTGATCCAACACCAAAAGTTTGTGTTTCTCCTGCTCTCCTTCACCATCCTCCTAATGCTGATGCTGTTAAAAAAAAACAAAAAAAAAACGCAACCTTCTAGCTAAACAGAACAAGGAAGAGGCATAACAAGACTTTGGGCCGATGCAAACGGCCCATTTGGGGTGGCAGAGAGCCACCTTGGAGAGCGGCGGATCGGGGCCACAGCAATTGCACACCACCGCCCTGATCCTCCCTTTTGCCGCTCCTTTTAGACGGCTGTGCCAGGAGGGCGCCCTGACGCTGCACGCCGTGTGGACAGGCGCACGGCGTCAGGATGGCATTAGGGTGGAGTCGAGGCAGCCGGTGTGCAGCTGCCCTGCTCCAACTCCACCCCCAGGCCAGCCCTTTAGGCCGGTCTGCAAAGCCCCCTTGTAAAAAGAAGCTTCGTTCTCAAAGGTTTTGTTGACTGAAAGATACCTGTATCTGAAAAACCATCTTCCCTCATATAAACCTGCCCAGACTGGGCTTGTACACATGAGCCAAAAGATCCATGCTATCCCTGGCCTCATGTTGTCGAAAAGGTCCTTAACCCAGGCTGCATCCACACTGCAAAAATAATCCAGTTTGATACCACTTTAAACTGCCATGGGTCAATGCTATGGAATTCTG